TGATTGCGTCAGACGATCAGAGTCATTGTTGATTCCTTTGTAGAGAGCGAGATGAGCTCCGTCGTGGTTTCTTGCTTTTATTTGACTTGTTTCCTGAAAACCATCTTTGCCAAAGTTTCTCCCTGCAACTTAAATGTCCATGTTCCTTTCATACCCGTTCAAACACGTGCGTGTTTTGTTCTATGTCCCTGTAGCCACATTCTTTACACGTGCATCTCATCGCCTGCTGCAGGGTAAACATGTCCATACCATCCATCCTCCCTCATCACACACAATCACTGTTGTCATTTGATTTTAAATGTCTCTGCGCCCAGCTGTCCTGCTCTAAAAGATGAATGTGGTTTTAATTGTTTTAATTAATGTCGTCATGCTGCAAATATTTATCTGTCTGTTGCTAAACTGTTGCCAGCTGCAGCACTAAAGACCCCAAACACTCAACATTCAGTTCTTATCTTAGTTAAACACATATTTTAGGAACAAACTGCAGAGCTGCCGTGAGTTTAGTCTGACGGTGACTGTGAAGGTGAACTGGATCAGAGGCGGACGATCGTGACTGTTTGGGACGAAACGACCAGCCTCTGGAAACCACAGGGACCAGGAAGTGATGAAAAGCAAATTGAGTTAAAAAAGAAATAAAGTAGAGTCCAAACATATATTAAAATCAATACAGAAATCATAAAACTAAATTAGACCCTCAAGTTTCATCTGTGTCACGGTGGCGACGTGTTTATGAGCGTGTGAGGCGTTCAGGTAAATTGATAATTAAGGTCGAGAGGTGGAGAGAAAAGTAGTTAATGCTTTTAATGTTCGTATACATATGAATATATGTATGAAACTCTTGTTTAGTGCAGTAGGTGAATGTAGCAAAGAAGATTTATTTCAAAAGTGTTTTAAAAATGTTTTATGGATTTGCACTTTGCTTAAGTAGATTTATTTTCAGGTGATTTTCACATTTATCAACCAGCGTCTGTACTTTCCGCTCCGCTCCATTTATACAAAGCATCGCATCACATGTTCCGGCTCCGTCGACTGAATCCAGCTCCACTGAACTTTGAATGAGCGAATGAACAGATCTTTGTGCAGCAGCAGGATTTGATTTGCCGCGGCTCGATTCCCGCAGGTCACTTTCCAGACAGGTTTGGAAAAAGATGCATCTGCCGGAGATCGAAAACATTTCCCAAGTGACCAATTCCACCAGGATTCATTTTGGTGAAGTCATTGATTTCAGTGTCCAAATCTTAATCTGCAGCGTCTGTAGATGTTTTACAGTGAATCCTGCTGCCGCTGTGCGTGAGTGAAATCCTCATGAAAAGATCCAGAAGCTTTACAAAGATGCGATATTTGCTTCTTTCGGAATATTAAATGTTTTCAGCCTTAGAGCCACAAAAGTTTTGTCTTTCAGAGTCGCAGGGTGAGGACACGAGAGTATTTACTGATGTGATGTAACAGAGGCGCTCTTCAGACAGAGAAAAACAAATCCTGTTGAATATTTCCAGCCGTATATTTACTGTCTGGCTTTATATTAATCTCAGTTTTTATTAATGTTGTTCCGCGTGTTTGTGGCGACTGCTCCCTCGTTCTCTCCGCCTGTTGTTCTTTATTAGATTTCTGAGGAAACGCATCGGTTTTTGAAAATCACAGCAGAGATGAAGGTTTGTTTTCTTCATCCGTCTCCGACTGTGCTTGTGCTTCGTGCGGTGCAGACAGAATGGAGTCGGACAGGAAACTTTAACACGAAGGTCCAGATTCATCAAACCCCCCCCCCCCCAGGATGCAATTCCACTGATGCACCTCCAGATCCATAGAGCGACGGTTGCTCGTGCTCGGAGCGTGTGGCGTCACGTCACGTCCACGCAGCTCTCCACAGAGGAATCAGCTGAGGAGGCCGGGCCTGATTACGTTCCCAAACATAAATCACTGCACATCTTGTCAGGGTGTCTCCTTGGGGGAGGTGTCCTCTAACAACAGCTGTCTTACAGTGAAAACATTACTGTTACTCAATGGATGGTTCATGTACAAGCTGTACTCCTGTTACACTACTAGTACTACCACGACTACTGCAGTATTACTGTAAAACTTGGTTGAACGTACGAAACACTGAGGTTCAGTTTTCTGTGTTTAAAGTTGGTAAAAACTACGTCCGACCGTCAGAGATCCGTCAGATCTCTCAACTTTCCTGATTCGTTTCACTTCTCACGTGTTCATTGCCATCGTCAGATCTCATTCGTGAGTTTAATAAGCAGTAATCATGTGTTTGCATGGACGTGCATGGACGCCGTGTTCATTTAGAGCCACAGCGCTACGATGGCGGCCATGTTTGACGACAAGCGGCTTTGGCAGTGATGATAAACCCCCCCCCCTTCTGTCCCCATGTGCATTGTGGGAAAGTGCTTGGTCTCCTGACTCTGTCTCAGCTCTTCAGTCACTTTGTATAACGTCATGGCGTAATAAATGTCGATTTCTATACATTTCCAGTTAATTTTCCAGCCCCACAAACACCAGAGCACCAGCTCAGCAGCTGAGGTCCAGATGTGCAGCGGTGGGTTCTGTTGTGATGTGTATGAGCGGAGCAGGGAGACGGGAGGTGAAGCAGACAGACGGCTCGTGACCAGCTGGTAACGTCGAGACAGACAGGCAGGCGCTTCTTCACCGCGGCTGTCAGCACCATGTTCTGCTGTGTGTCCTCTGGGGGCCCAGGACTCGTCTTCCACTCACATCCTGGATGTGTGAAAAACTCAATCCCAGCCCGCGGCCCCCAGCTGGGGAGGGTCGCAGTAATTAAACCACATCACTCACAAGGAAGCTGCGATTCTTCACGTCTCTGTTATTCCTTCTGTTGTTCTGCACATTTCCAGTTCGTCCGTCCGTCTCTTCCTTTAAACAAGAGAATAAATGCTTTTTCTCAAAATGTGAAGGAGACTCAAGTGAAATGTGAAACTGAAGCAAAGAGCTAAAAGAGGCTAAAGCTAAAGTATTAAAATGAAAAACGATCTCCGCTCACACAAGCGATTACGCTCAGGTTAGCTTAACTTAGCACGAGGGAACCTGGTAAACCGATTCTTGGTTCTGTCCACAGATTGTAAATAAAAGGTGGATGATGCGTCTCGACTTCCTCCCGATGTCCAGAAATACATCCGGGACTCGTGGCCGCCATCTCGCGCCGGCGAAGTCATGTGGGATCGAGATCTCGCCAATACAAAGCAACTTAAAATAAGAGAAACCATTTCACGTGTGTTTTGATATTTTAGTTTCTCCCTACAAATTAGGAGGCGGAGTTTATGACCCATACCGCAGCCAGCCGCCGTTAACTGATCACATGTCGTCCTGCATGAGTTCTTTATTTTTTTCGGAGCATTAATAGAAGCGCATGTTGCTTTTTGTGGCCTGTGACGGACGACATGAATCACTCTCGTATCTCTGTCTCACTCCGCCATTGTTTCTTCAGGGTTGAATAAGTTCAGCTTCTATTTATATTCCAGTGATGGAGGCGGAATCACAGAGGAGATGCTATGTCTGATCTCGTGATTACGTGAATTTGCTCGTTTATGTTTAAAAGAAATCACACACGTGTTTTGTTTTGTTTGTGACAACGTTGAATCGTGAAACGTATTTTTCTTTTTCTATTTTCTTTTGTTATTTGAGTTGTTTGACTCACATTTTAATGATACCTGTGTGTGTGTGTGTGTGTGTGTGTGTGTGTGTGTGTGTGTGTGTGTGTGTGTGTGTGTGACAGACGATAGCATCACCCTCCGTATTTCCTGTGCCAGCGTCTGGCGCCCACATGGACATATTGTGGTGATGATAAAGGGATATTAAAACTCATAGCTGCTTCTTCTGCCTGCCCAACTGTCTGTCTACACACACACAGACACACACACACACACTACATGTGTGCACTTAGCAGAACAAAGTGAGTTATTGATTGTGGAGGACATAAACACAGCACCGACGGATGATTCATGTTTTGATATCCTCTCTTCATTCTGTCTTCGGGTCACGGTGGCTTTATTTGCTGTGAACAGAATATTTTCCAGTCACAGGTTTGACTCTCAAAGTTTCATAAATCAAAGTGTGGAGATGTCTGAGCTGTAAATTTGGCCCAGTTATGTCAGGGGGTTGTCAGTTTCTTTAGCGCCATCTTGGTTTTTTTGAAACCAGCCCCCCCCCCCCAACTTCAACTGCACGTCGTGTGGAAAAGTAACGCAAGAATAAAGTAACGCGTGTTAATCCACCGCTGCAGAGCCGGTGCATTAAATCTGTGCAAAACAATATTTCCTTTATCTTTCTTTTCTTTAAACACACACACACTCGTCCCAGCAGACCGATTTCACCCTTAATGATATTACCCATAAAGCCACAGATGAGCTTTATCAGTTACCATGCCAACAGGTAACCAGGGAGCAATAAGCAACCGTTCTTATTTTCCACTTTTTCATTGTGCGTTGTGTTTTTTGCGATTGCTCTTATTTGCAGAACAGACGTCAGTGCACGCGTCCCTCCACATAAAAGCTATTGAACCCCTGAGTATTTTCTGCCTGCTGTGTCTCCCCACAGTACTTAACTAAGAGGTTTGAGAATCAGACCCATTTGGGACGTTATGAATAATTTCATTTATACTCTAATGCATTTGAAAAAAACGTCATGAATACAGTAAACAAGACGAAGGGGGCAGGTTTCCTCTCTGAGTGGGTGGAGACACCAGGACAAGATGAAATTAACTGTGCCTTCAGATAAAAGATCGAAATCAGACGCAAAATCCCACAAGAATGAGAAACAAACCACAGGATCAACAAACAGACAAGAAGCGACCATAGTGGATCTTGTGGTCCTTATGTTCCAGAAGCTGCTTGTCATGTTATGTGATGTATATGTTTTATAAGCTGGTTTTTATTAAATGACCTTCGATGCTTTTACTGTCATCTGTTGGTTTGTTTGTTTTTCAGCAGGAATACTAAAAAAACTACTAAATCAATTTCTAAATGGTTTTAATTCGGTGAAGGATGAGGTATGTGGGTGTGAGCTCCTCTCCGAGCGCCCTTTTAGTTTAATGCATCGTTTTTTTTTTGTAGAAGCCTGAAGCATCTGCAGCGTCACCGTTGTTCCTACAAATGAAGCATCGATAGAAAACGAATTGAAAACAGTTCAGTGTGAATCTCAGGAGCCTGGTGACTGACTTCTTTCAGAAACTTGAAGATCAGTTTCAGTCTTGTGTTGTTTTATTCTCCCTGCGAGTGGGAACACTTTAGATTGCGGAGACGTTTGCATATTATCTTTACATCATCTCATCAAACTGATTCATGTGCAGGTATGTGTCTCTCTAAGACTCCAGATCAAATTAAAGTCCTCCCTGTTCCTGGATCGCTTCACACTCTATCTCTCCATATTAATTCTTACTTTGATATTCCTCCTCCTCCTCCTCCTCCTCCTCCCGTTCTTGTTGACCTCTCTCCTGCATCGTCCATCTCTCTCTCCCCCCCCACCTCCTGCATGTCATCCATCTCTCTCTCTTTTGCCTGGAGCATGTTTTCTTTCTGTTTCAGTGGAGCACTTAAGTCTACCCTACTGTGTGCAGCCTGTAATGAGGACTGCCAGCTGTGGCTCAATGGCTAGTGCACGCGGACACACACACACACACACACACACACACACACACACACACACACACACACACACATACACACACACACACACACACACATACATACGTACAAGGGCCAGCCACAGTCACTTCTCCACTTCTAGGTAAAAGCAGATATAAATGGCACATGATGTAATCAGCTACATATGCGACCAGCGTATGGTATGAGTGTGTGTCTGTGTGAGTGTGTGTGTGTGTGTGTGTGTGTGTGTGTGTGTGTGTGTGTGTGTGCAAATTGAATACAGTTGTGTTTTTGAGAGAAAGAAAAGACGTCATCGTCGGCTCGGGTAGACGGAGATAATAACAGAAATGCATATGTTGCAGTGAAACAGTAAAATATTGATGATGTTAATGTGTGTGTTTCCAGAATCTTGGCCACGGTGGGTTCAGACTTCGACCTGAGAACACTGCGGGCGGTCCGAGTGCTGAGACCCCTGAAACTTGTATCAGGAATCCCAAGTAAGTGACTCTACCGACATTTGAACATGTTTCCTGTTTATATTTTAATGCCTCAACAAACAAACAAATGATTTCCAGGACAACAAAGCTCTGACTCTCTCTCCGCTCCCCTCTTCCTCCCCTCTTCCTCCCCTCTTCCTCCCCTCTTCCTCGTCTCTTCCTCGTCTCTCAGGCCTCCAGGTGGTCCTGAAGTCCATAATGAAAGCCATGGTTCCTCTGCTTCAGATCGGCCTGCTGCTCTTCTTCGCCATCGTCATGTTCGCCATCATCGGGGTGGAGTTCTACATGGGCAAGTTCCACACCACCTGCTTCAGGACCGACACCGGTGAGAGCAACAGCTTGTCTTTCATTATCCGCCGAGTCGATGCCAGGAAAACTTTTCTCCTCTTAGGGCGGCGATCGTGTGTTAGTCACGGCCGAGAACAAACTGTATATTACATTACATTTTAATGCAGCTGCACATAAATGATTCATAACTTCTGTATGTACGTGTAGCTGCACGTCCGCAGCGGCCGGTGTTCTTATATCAACATGAGAAACAAGAGCACAGTCTGACAGCCGTTTTTCACATCCCGGTTTTGATGAATGGAAATATTCTCAATCTTCAGGTTTTGATCGAGGGCCTCGGCTGTGACTCGATACAGATTATTATGTGTTCGGCCTCCTGATCGAACGCTAACTCAGACGCTGTTAATGAGTTTGAGGTCGGCTTGTTCATCTTTGTCCGACATCAGACGTTTGTGCTCGTGAGGATATTGCAGCAATAAAACCTGATAGGACATTTTGATGTGAGTTGGAGCTAAAATAAGTTTTATGTACTTCATCATGTATATTTTGCATTACTGCTCCATTTATAGGAATTACTTTACATTTATGAATAAATTCAAAAATGTTAATGCCCTGCAACAAAACTCTATCGTATATTGCTCCTGAGATTTCCTAATATTTAATTTCCCTGAAAAGGTTTGTGCATTTAGGACCTAATAATTATATCTGATTATTTTACTAGTTAATTTTACTCACCATTAATTGATTGGCATATTAAATGTAATTGCATTTTAAATCACAGGTAAACATACAACGAGAAACTATGGAAAAATCATGCAAATCTATTAAAAGGGTGCTGGATCAACAAAATATCACAGAACTTAAATAAAAATCCTGATAACAGGTAGAGAACAGGTTGTTTGGCTGAAGTAACTCATTGTGTAACGTAGTGACAGAAATTATGAGGTTTTAATTCCTACTGCTGGTGTCAGAGAGGGTGAAGATGTGACTTGAGGGTTTTTTCACTTGGTGTGTGTGTCTGTGTGTGTGTGTGTGAGTGTGTGTGTGAGTGTGTGTCAGGTTGCTCGTCGTGGTGTGAGCTGCTGTGACAGCCTGTTAATGTACAGTATGTGTGTTCTGAGTTATTTTCGTCCCAGAGACGCAGCACGGCTCCATTACTCTGAGCGGTGCTGGTGATAACGTTGTAAACTCGCCCTGTTGTCGTGTTGTTTCAGTTTTTGTGCGTGAGCGACAGGCAGGTAGCACGGCAGACTCACTCGTGTCACATGTTCGAGTATGTGTTCTCTCATGTGTTCGCTGCTGTTAAAAATCTTTTAGGATTGAAAAGCAAAAAAAAATGCTCTGACATAAGCAGATGCCCAACGAGCACACACTCTGCTCATCGCACACACAGGCCGGCAGCAGTAATGACAGTGAAATTGCCTAATTAGTGACTAATGGTGGCGGTACAAAGGGGCAGGGGTTCGAAGTGGCTCGTGTGGTCGAGCGGGGGAAGGCGGCAGCAGCAGAGCTTGGCAGGACACGGCGTCTGAGGATTGGATGGATCAGGCGTCCCCGGTTTGGGCTCCAGACAGGACGGAGACTAAGCCCGGACGTGGTGGGTGGCAAGTGGAGTCAGCAGCAGGATTAATGTAGTAGACAGAAAGAAATGGCAAAGACTGAAGGGACGAGCCGGTGGTTAGATACCGGAGGAGGTGGCGCGGTTGATAAGGGGATGATTTACAGTGATGCAGGTGGGCCTGTGTTAGCCACGCCCGGCCCGGTGGTCTCACACACACACACACGGTGAGGACGAGGAGGAGGCAGCCTCACAGGAGCAGCTCCCAGTAAAAGATGATGGAGATGTAGAGGCCGGCTGACGCAGCACCTGTCCGTACGTGGGAGACGCTGCATCTTGCAGGACTGACACCAGAGATATGTCGGCTGTGCAAAATGGCTCCGCAAATCATCGTTAAAACTTGGCACAGCCTGTGATCGGAGCTGGTTCCCGTATGAAACGCTGGGTGCACGAGGCATCTGTTCTGTACTCAGCAGATTTATTCATTATCCTGGTCCTGGACTGCTGACATATGTGCCTGCACATCCTTTACACAGACTCTCAGCAGCCTCCACATTAGCCTGGAGAACTCAAGCACAGAACGCACACACACACACTAAGACGACTAAAGCTGCGAGCACTTTCTGTCCTGGTCATAGACTTGTCCGTGTCCGATCGCACGGTGACTTTGCATCATGAAATCCAACAGGAGACCACGAGTTCCCCCGATAACAGAAATATCCATAACTCACTCTTTTCCTTTGTCTTGTGCTCAGGGGAGAAAGCAGCGGATTGGCCGTGCGGCCTGGAGCCTCCGGCCAGGACGTGTCCCAACGGGACGCAGTGCAGAGAATACTGGACCGGACCCAACTTCGGCATCACCAACTTCGACAACATCCTGTTTGCGGTGCTCACTGTGTTCCAGTGCATCACCATGGAGGGCTGGGTGGAGATCCTCTACAGCGTGAGTCTGTACTCCAGATTGTGGAGTGTCTGTGAGTCTGTCTGTCCCCCGCGTGCTTTTCATCAACTTCTCAAATCTACGATCTTTTCTTTGAGTAATTATATTATTATATCTTGGTTGTGTGTGTGTGTGTGTGTGTGTGTGTGTATGTATAACCTGCAGCAGAGATGGTGAACAGGTGAAGTCCCACCGCAGGTTGTCAGGTTGTCAGTTCCGTTTCTGGATGAGTGGTGAGGAAGTAACAGTGACACGGGGGACACATTGTTCCTGTCCGCTGTCAGTGTCCATGGAGCAATGCAGCGAATACAAATGAGCATATAAGTTTATTTTTTTAAAAAGAAAAGAATATTTCATTACTTTAACAGGAAGTTACATCAGATGCATGTGTTGTTTTGCAGATTTTGAATAGTCGTCGATCCTTTAAGTTGCTTTGGTTTAAAGTCCCTTTAAAGGCTCCTGGTGCAGTTAAGTTAATATTATATTATTATATTATAATATTATATTAAGTTGTCTGCACACGTTAATAAACAGCTGGTTTGTTTGGATGTTTGTCCAGCAGCTGCTTCCTGCTGACATTTCCTGATCGATTCCATGTTGGTTGAAGTTTTCCTTATAATGCACCAAACACAAATCACAAAAACACTGTGTTACGACTAAATATGTGTATTCACATGTCTCAATATTTGAAGCTCTGGACTCTGATGTGTGTTACACATCTGGGTCACTGGTACGACCCTTCGCCCTCCAGCTGTTGAGGTTTTCACTACTTTTTCTCTCTTTTCAAGTGTCTGCACCTCTCCGGTTTTTCAGGGCAGCTGAAAGCACGACGACGCCTTTTTAAAAAACGGAACACTTAAGAAATAAGAATCCCTAAAGGACGAGAGACGTCCAGTCAAGCGGAACTAAGACATGGCAACGTGTCTAGACCGATCCCACAATGGCGCTCTGACTCAGAGCTGCATGTTTTTTTAACGAAATGATGAAAAATCAAACGCACGCCTCATGAAATCTGCCAAATGAGAAAATACACAGTGGATTCAGATAATAGTCAGACCCCTCCGCACTTTAGTGTGGTGTAGATGTGATTGATTTCATTTTTATTTGAAGCATTTGTTGCATTAATTCTTTATTTCTTTATTTCTTTCTTGCTTTCCGTCTTTGCTCCTCTCCTCCTTTTATTCCCCACCATTTATTCCGTCCGTCCGTCTCCTCCCTTTGTCTCTCGGCCCCGTGTTTTCCTCTCCCGGGAGACGTGGCGGTACATTTTGAGCCACTCACACAGCCATGTTTTCTCTTTCCTCCTCTTCCTCTCCATCTTCCTCGTCGTTTCACTCCAATCGTCTCCCGTCGCTTCTCCCGGCTCATTATCCTAAGCGCTGGAGACCTGCGTACGCCGCTGTGATCTGAGAATTTTCTCTCAGTCGGAGCTTTTTCTTTGTATTTGGCTCTTTTCCTTCTAACTCATTTCTTTTGATCCTCCCGGTTATTTTTATTTCTGGCTTATTGTGTCTTTCCTGACCGTATTTCTTGCTGCCCACCTATCTCAGTATTTCTCTTTTCACTTTCCTCCCTGTTAGAGCTGTTCTTAAACCTGCTGACCTGCCCACCTACACCTCAAAATATATATGTTTCATATCCTGCACTTTGGGGAATGCCTCACTAACTCAAGTCAGAAAAACAAGCAAGAAGGAAGAACATTTTCATTGCAGAATGGGTAGTAACGTTATTATTTCCTCCAAGGAGGTTATGTTGTCATTTGTTTAATTTCAGGGTGGACGGAGACGTCAGTTTTTTGACGTTTTCTCCGATTTCCTCGAGACAAATTCATGGATCTAGATAAAGAAGATCAGGGATATCTAGAGGACTGATATCTATGAGTTTGTTTAACATGTCTGTGCTCTGCTGGTTGTTTTCACCTTTTTAAAAATGCCTGAACCTCATCTGAGCTCCACAAGTTCTCCCTAAAGCTTCGGCTCAGCACGAGGAGAGATCATGACGACGATGCAGAAGAAAAAGAGCCATAGGTGTGTTTGTGTGGATGCAGCGGCGCATGCAGGGAATAATATCTGGAGTCTACACATGTAGATGCACTCTCGGTTGCAGATGTGTGGGGGGGGAGGGGCTCTATTCTGTGGATTATATACTTTCCTGTAACCCGGCGTTCACCTCGCAGATTGATGACTGTGCTACCTCAGCCCTGAGGGGGATCGTTTCGACCCTCCTCTCTAATGGTGCAAAAGAAAAGATCACCTCCCCCATCCTCCCCCTTCATAACCATCTTTCCTCCCCCCCCACCCCCCTCTCTCTCACTCACCTCAGACCCTCAGCCCCCCCCCGGGGAGGCCACACAGCAGCAGCCCGTGGTCTGATGTGAAGAAATGAAACGCTGCTGTCCTCTGTGTTATTCTTCAGTTATTTACAACGAGGGCGTGTTCCCGGTGACGCTGTGACATCACTTCAGAGACGGAGAAGATGAAATAAAACCGGGGGGGGGGGGGGGGTGAAAGAAGCAAGATTTGTTCATCATGAAGATTTAATATTTGAGAGACTTTCATGTGTGTGATGCAAACTCAGTGTAAAGGCACAAAAAAGACTGCGATTAACACTTATTACATTTCAATGACACCACTTCCTTAAGAAGAAGAAGAAGAAGAAGAAGAGGAGGTCACCGGCAAGAAAATGATGAAGAATCTGCATCTGACTCAACTTTTGCAACATGTAATGCAACATCATCAGACAAGGCTCTGATCTGGGAAATCAGTCGCCTGCTTTTCAGTCAGAGCGTCCACACTGGCTCACGTGCAGGTGTCGGGTTTCTCGTCTAGTTTCGTGGTTAACGCATTTTTTTGTTATTATTATAATTGCAGGAACGGAAATCGCAGTAATCCCGTTGACACGAATGGGTCGGCGTTGAGTGAAGTGAGCGAAACCTGCAGAGGACAAAATGTCACCAAACTGAGTCGACGCTCCTCCTTGATGTTTTAATCATGAGGAAAAGGCAACAGAGTCCAAATGAAGGGAGATTTAAGCTTATGCTAATGACGGTGATGCTGCCAGCCGCTGCAGAGCCGCCGCTTTCCACTTGAGCGGAATATCCTCCCATCAGTGTCGTCTTTAGCGGCTAAACCACACGGTGGATGCTACTGATATACAACTTCTAGAGCGTCGGAGGCCAGATTACACGTCCAGAAGTTTAAATTACGCAAGCAGAGAAAAATAATGAGCATTATCCTTCCATATGACTCTGTCATTCCCTCCCTCCCCAACATCCACTAAGTTTCTCTTTCGCCGTCTCAAGGTTAAAACTCAGTATTAACATGAAGCACTGTATTCATTTCCTCACTGTAAATAAATCATCTGCATTGCTTCTTGTTCCCAAACAGAACATGTGGTTTATCTCTCTGCAGCCCGACACATGTTCACCTTCATTTTCCCTTCAGATCCCGTGTTCGATACCGTTGCCGTGTTATCAGCGTCCAGCAGCAGCTCAGATCTGACTCCCAGATTCTGACGTCTTTCAGTTGCTGAGTCTCTGCGTCCCGCTGTGGTCAAAGGTGGAGTCCCTATAGGAATAAAAGGATTTTTTTGCTAAGGTTAGAAAAATGTTTGTAACGCTTCTTTCGTAAGCGTCGCCGGACGGCGTGCGTGCGTCAGAATAACAATAAAAATTAGTGATAAAGGAAATACGTTAAAGATAACATCATCATTTTTTTAAAAATCCGTAACACCATGACAGTGATTCTTTGCTTTAGCTCCGAGCCAGTCAGCGGGAAGTGACTGTGCTGCAGCAGCTGCAGGGCGTGTGGGTGGTTTCCTCAGCGTTGATAATGTGGAAATCTTCATTTCATGCACCGTGACTTTATTACACTTCCTGTCTCTTCTACTGACCCAGTGGCCGCCATCGGGTTGGAAGCTCCCTTAATTACCTCCGCTGTGTCATGTTCTGGCTTCACACTTTAACAAATGTGCACATCGCTTCGTATTAAATCTGCCTCCATTTGAATTGTGTCTTTGTAAAGAAAGTCGGCACAATTTTTCCACAACGGGGAACTAGCGTTATACCCAGAGAATGTGGATGCCGTGTGATTGACAGCTGGGTGCAATCGGCGTCCTCCAAATATGGTTACATCTGGTTTTAAAAAAACGTCGCTGGACACGATGTCAAGCTAGAGGCTTCAGAACGGCAGCTCACAAACCAATGGGTGATGTCACAGTGACGTTGGGTTGCAGTTTAATGTGTGTGTGTTTGTGTGTGTGTGTGTGTGTGCATCTTTTCCTCTCACTTCATTAGAGCCGTGTGAGTCGCTGAGGCGGCTGCACCTTGACCTTGTCAGAGCGCTCGTCAAATCCTTGTAAAAATAGAGCAGCGCAGAGAGACGGTTACACATCGTGAGGACGATCAGTCACGACTGTGTGTGAATTCTGTAATTACTGCATCTCGCTGAGGCAATGATGTGGAAGCAAAGACACCGAAGTTAAGTGTGTAAATGCATCCCAGGAGCACATGCTCTTTTTTTTTTTTTTTATACTGCGCAAAGAAAATCAGAATTCACTGACAAGTCCTGAAGCAAAGGTTGTCGACGGCTGGTGGGATTCAACCCTACCGATAATCACAGGGGTTCAGAGCTGAAACATGGCGTCCAACATGATAAATAAGACTTTTGTCTCCCGTACCAGGTGGAAAGTAGAGATGGACAAATTTGTGGAGTCGCATAAATGAAGTCTGTGGTCTGCAACCATTTAAAAAAAAAAGGATAACATCTGAAAATCCTACAGTGAAACATAATGTGTCAAAAAGCCAAAAGCTAAACCTCCGTGTGTAATGAAATCTCTTAGAAACTGAAGTAATTTATCCTTTAAAAGTGAAAATATAGATGAAGCAGCTCCGAGATAAGAGCCTCGAATCTAATTTAACAGGAAACTCTTATGATGAGTTGATATATAATTCATCTTCTTCTTCCAGCAGCTCTGTGGAGACCTCGTGCTCCCGAGCTGCAGAGCTCAGTCTGCTCGTTGTGGATGTTTCAGGTCTGTGAGGAGCTGTGGGATTGATTCAGAGTGGATGTCTTCATCACAGCAGGGTTTCCATGCCATCGCTGTGTGTGTGTGTATGTGTGTGTGTGTGTGTGTGTGTGTGTGTGTGTGTGCACGTGCTGTCAGCGCTGTAAGCTCAGAGTGGGTGTTCACTGTCACACTGGAAACCGCACGATGCTCGGCTCTGAGTTATTTGGCAGCTTTTTGCTTCTCTCCTCTCCGGTGGTTCAGAGGCAGAGATGACTCATGGGAATAACAGAGGTGGAATAACCAAATGAAGTAAACTTACATAAAGTCCTCGAGCGGAGGATCGGAGTTGTTACGCAGCACGGAGGCTCGGTTTTCACTCACACTTGTATTTGTTTGGTTTGAATGAATTTTAATATCTCGAAATGACTCAACAGATTTCGGCAGCACATCCTGCGGGGTTTTCTCTAAATGCTTCTTACACCACAGATGTGAGATAGATCCCGTCACTGATTCCATGGAATGTGGCCAATTACTCCTAATTCAGCCAAATTAAGATGAAGCGAAAACCTCAGGGTCTGATATCACCACCTGCAGATAGAAGATTCTTCATCAGAGTCTGACGGCTGCTCAGACTTCATCGCTGATCGAGCTGCAGACTTTCTCTCGAAATATGACTTCGTCTCTGGGATTACTTTGGCTTCACTTCTGGATGGAGGAGTCTCTTAGTTGTTTCTTGAGACTTTGCATCATTTTACGTTCTTACCAGAGAGAATTTAGAAGTTTAAACAAAATGAAAACCTTTAAAACGTTGATTGTTTCGTGCTCGTTTACCCCAGGGGGTTGTGGGAGTCAGCCCCCTCCGTGCGGCCTGTCAGCAGGGGGACCGACCTGCGGACCGACGGTAATTGAACAGTAATAATTTGGGATAAATATTCATCAGTTTGGTTTTGTCCGAACCAACTTTACCATCATTTGCTTTTTTAAGTCATTAATCATTTCTTCATTTTTTTGATAATCTTTCTGAATAAACAGCCTTTTTTTTCTTGTTGCATTTAAATCTCCATGTTATTTAGTTTTTCTTCCATCATCACGTGACACTTTAACAACATATGGCATCATTACAAGAAGCTTCCTGAAGGCAACAGTGTGCATCAGCAGTTTTTTTATAATCAATCACATTCATGTAGCCAGTGGCCTTGATTTGCCATATGCCTCGTATCTTCTGTGCTGTGGGGCTCATGTCAGTGCATGGCTCCACACACATTGTGCTTAAAGGTGGGGTAACAATGAGAAAATCGGATTTATTTTGTTTTGCTCCTGTGCATTAACCTCGTCCAATCCCTTAAAATCGGAGTAAACCAGCAGCTCTGGGCGGTTCAGGGTTCCACCTTGAGACCTCGCCGTGTTTCAGAGTCTGAAAAATGTTTGCACAAGCTCGCCTGAGCTCAGCTCGTGTGCCTGAGCTGTCAGCTAAGAATTAAGGCCGTGTCAACAGGAGAGAAGTCTTCCCTCCTCACCAGCTGACTCTGGGACTGAAAGCTGACGCAACACACTTCATTTTCAGCCCCCGGCTCAGCAGAGAGAGAGAGAGAAGCATCGCTGTGTCTGCCGCAAACAGAGAAGAGCTGCAAGCTGTCAGAGATGCTAAGTTGATAAATTTAAGAAAAGCAAAACTAACTTTAAATAGAACAGGGCCATACCATTACTTTTTAAAGCATCAGAGTCGTGAAGCTGCGTCACCGCTGCTGCACAAAGAGCTGCTCACCTGTCTGAAGCTCGACTCAGACACTGAACCTGGAACTGGAGAATCACTTGAAGTGACGATTTATTGTCAGAACGTCACAGTCGAGCCACAGACAGCGACTCAGTGATTTCTGGAATTATTAGATAGATATAAAAAGTCTAAAAGGGTATTTTCATTTATTTTATGATTTATTCATTAAAGTCATTGTCTTTCTGTCATTATAGTAAATTCAAATCTAATGTTCATTCTCCTTTTAGCTCCATTTTGGTCTCTACCCACTGCTTTTAATTAAAACAGCTTTAAAAGCTTCCACTCGGTGGAACTCCGTTGTTGTTTTCTCATCTGACCTTCGCAGAGGAAACAAATGTTGAACACGTTGAACTGAACCGATCGGAGACGGCGTTCGTGTGAAACATTTACACGAGATGATGAGACAGTCATGAGATGTTGGACGTGTCGGGAGAAAGTGAAGCTTCTGCCAGCCATTTATTCCGATGTGTGGGCTGCTGCTTCTCTGACAGCTGAGGCCGAGGCCGTGCCACTGTGTGTGTGTGTGTGTGTGTGTGTGTGTGTGTGTGTGTGTGTGTGTGTGTTATTATCTCACATACCCGGGTACATCATACAGATCTCCAGTCTGCTTATTCAGCCGCCCTGAACCTCCCATCACAATTACAGCCAGCGTGCGGCAGCGCATCAACACTGGCGTCTGCAAAATGTCACCGTGCTTCACACGGCCCGTCAGTCCGCAGGTCGCTCCCCTGCTAACAGGCCGCCGCGTGGGCGCCACCGATCAAACACGGAGGGGGCCGACTCCCACAACCCCCTGGGGGGGGAAACGAGCATGAGCATTCAGCACTGTTGAAGTCGGTCCATGTCGGCCATCGCAAACATAAAGCACAGTACTCCAGGAGTCTCCGGACTTTAGATCACAACACCGACATCGACCATTAGGAGTCAAAAGAAAATCAAGCCTAATCATATTGATCGCCCCCTGGTGGCTGGCTGCAGTACAGATTTTTTCCGTAAGTTTGGTTTTAATGAATGATTTGATGATTTAAAAGAAACCTCTTGATGACATCACCATGTACCAGACGGACGTGCCCTGTCTCTGATATTTCGGCTTCATGTTTGCACAACGCGATTAAGTGGATGTCCATGTTTATTTACGCTCATTGATCCATCACTGGATAGACTGGAACACTTAATGTGAGCCAGACCCTTTCACCCAACATCTGCGGTGAACCTCAGCGGACCTCATGGTTTTAGAATCCGGTTTGTGTGTGTGTGTGTGTGTGTGTGAGAGCTGTTTGTTCACCCCAGTCATGATGTGAGTCCCATTAGAAGACTGAATCGTCTGTGGACAATTCATTCGTAATAGAAGTAGGAATGTTTCGGATCCTGTTCCTCTCGCTGAATTAAACATTTGTTTTGCCCTGATAGACGACTGAGCATCAGTCAATGGTTTCGTGTGGAAGGAAACTTTTTAAATTGCTTTTTGGTTTTCAAACTGAAAAGTCGTCAGTTTTTTTTTTCGATTGACGCTGAAGTTGCCAAATGTTTTTTTGTGTCCTCAGCCAACTTGGTTAAAAATACATTCTTATTCACAGCTGTGATTGAGGGCAGTCTTTTTTTTTGTTTTTATAATGTTCCATGTACTTTTTATCTGTGAGATGTTCGTTCACTGTTTCTGACTGAAATTACTTTTTTACTTTAAGTACGCACACAAAACACGTTTGTTATTTTAAAGACAATACCAAGAAAATGAAAAGTGACGCTCTAGGTATTTATTATGTTTTTGTTTGTTTGTTAGCAGGATTACACTGAAACTATTCAACACAGCTCCATGAAATTCTGTGGAGAAACAACCCATTCACCTTTTGGGGAAGATCCAGATAAAAATCCTGATTTAGTGAATTGAAATGTTGGGACTTGGTTTCCATTGATATTTTTGTATATTGGTTTTATTGTATTAGGTGTTACACACTTCATCTGTTTATTTATTTTAATCTCTCTAGACGAACGATGTGGCAGGAAACACCTGGAACTGGCTCTACTTCATCCCTCTCATCATCATCGGGTCCTTCTTCATGCTCAACCTGGTGCTCGGTGTCCTGTCGGGGTAAGATCGCTGCAAAAATGAATGCATGTATCCCAAAGCTGTAGTCACGTATGATTAAAAACATGCATGTGTGTGTTTGAACAGAGAATTTGCCAAAGAAAGAGAGCGAGTGGAGAAGAGGCAGGAGTTCCTGAAGCTTCGGAGGCAGCAGCAGATCGAACGAGAGCTGACTGGATACTTGGAGTGGATCTGCAAAGCGGGTTAGATTCAATCTCTGGAGCAGCGTGAGGCGGCGTTTGTTGTGTTAGGAGAAAAAAACCCAAAACCTTCTTCTTTCTCTCTCCTGCTGCAGAGGAGGTGTTGCTGGAGGAGGAGGATGAGATTGCAGAGGAGAAGTCTCCGCTGGACGGTGCGTGGTACAAGAGGAAACAAAACCTTCCAGGTGAAAATCTACTCTACCACAGTTATTTACCACAGGGCGGGGAGCGATGATAAACCCGAGAGGTTTCTTCCCCCCCGTCACTCTGTCACCATCACGACAAACCCTCAGGTGCTGATTTATCCCTAACGCCATGTTGGCCAATCAGAGCTCAAGAAAAAAAAAAAAAGCTATTACCAGTTCCAGCAAAGACGCCACAAGCGAAAAACTCTTTAGTGTCTCTGTGCACACGTCAACTCTGGAAACAGTTTCTGAAGATTTCTCCCTGGGAGCAGTTTTATTAAAGGTCAGTTGTGAGTGAACTAAACGTCTGCTTCCCTCTGGACTAAAGGTCGCTCTGGTGTGACGTGACATTTGTCCAGCTTTTCTTTAAATCTGTGAACAGAGGGAATATTTTGAGTTTCTCAACTCATAATTCAAACTTTTGGCCGACCGTCTGCGTGGACTGTAAAAATCTTATGGAAGATGGCACACGGCAAATAGTGCTGCTGGTTGATTTTTATTTACAGAGTTAATTCAGTTTAGTTTATGAATTTCTCTGGATAACTAACTCCTATTCTCTAAATGCAGACAGGAATGTTTGTTACCATGCCAGCCAAATATATACATATATATATATAAATATGTATAATAAGTGCAATCATAGAACCAGCACTTATGATCAGCCTGGTACTGGAGCGATAATCATGGTTTTCACTCATGTTGCTTTTTTTTGCAGCAGAAATAATTCATCTCTCTCTCTCCCTCTCTCTGTCTCTCTCTTTCTCTGTCTCTCCCTCCCCCTCTCTGTCTCTCGCTCATGATGTCAGTCCATTAGGGCCGATGTGAGGATGAGGGTTAATCAGTGGGATTTACAGTCAGTCCTATTAGATTTGTTAATACACACATGGAAATTCGTTTGCCAGTAAACGGACGCACACAGAGCAGACAAATCCGAGCTGAAGGTTCCAGATAAGTGACGGCAGCTGGCGGCCTCTTGTTCCCAATTATTTACATATGTGGGATTATGTGGGATACGTGGGAGACCAGAGAGAAAGAGTCATTCTGATGTTGTTGGAAAATATGGAGCTGGCCCTCGTCAGATGAGTGACGGGTACGAGTGATGGAGCTCGGTGTCAATCCCGGCGGATATTCGAGATCCTTCGTTCTAAAATCATTTGTCCAACGTTTGAGAAGAGAAGATTTAGGAAACGATGCTTCTAAAATATTTGATGTTTCATTTAGAGAGGGATAGAATTACCCAGTTCCTTCCCTCTCATGTTCACCCTCCTCCTTGTCTGAAGGTGTTGCCTCTAAAGCAGACGCAGGTTTGGCCCTTTGCTCCGTGTCGTCCTCGATCTCTCCTCTCTGTTAACGCTCAATGTCTGACCTGTTAGTAAAACGCCGTAGTGCTCAAAGAATCTGAAGTGTGAACGATCTAGGAATAAAATGTTTTTCTGTTTCCACTCGTCATTGTCATAGTGCACATCTCAAATCAGAGGGCTCTGACTCTGTCTCCATTTAAGATTAAAAAGAGAGATTTAAGATTTGGTTCTCCTCTCAGCAGCAGCCTGCTCGAGGGGACGACCGTGGTTTTTTAGCCGTGGAGACACGGTGACACGGAGCCGGTCACGTGACGATCACACATCCCTGCTGGCAGTTTTTCATTCCGAGGCTGGCGTCAAGCAGGAAGGCAGAAAATCTCCAAATGAGAAACATGATTGATGCCTGCTATTCATATTTTCCAATTAGCTCACTGCTCCACACACACACACACACACACACACACACACACACACACACACACACACACATTCTATATTCTGCGTTGGGATTGAGGGTTGTTGCACTGAAATGCAATATGAAAATGCTTGTGTTGCACGACAGCACCGTTCCTCCACTGTTCATTACTGAAACTATATTATGATTTAAGGGCACATGCTGAATTTTTCTGTTTCCTTCACAGTTCTGAAACGAGGCAAAGCCAAGAAAGGTAAAAACGACCTGATCGGTGCAGAGGAGGGGGAGGATCCTTTCGCCGACATCTCCTCCGTCGGTAACTCTCTCACCTTTGACCCTTGACCTTCTCGTGTCGTCTGCTCACAGTCGACCTTTAAAGCCCCTGTTTCTAAACATACTGTACTTCATTTACCAGATGAGCACGAGTGTCTCCCGCAGAAACAAGTCACCTTGAGGGAGAATAAGTACAATTTAACTTTCCTTAATTAGACTGTTAAGTTAAAACAGCAGGAGAATCACCTTCAGCATTTTAAATTAAACTTTATATATTAATAGACTCGACGGTCCCACACACAAAGAGGCGTGTAATTGCTTGTCTGTGTGTTGGAAATAAACACGAGTGAAACTGTTTTCCTGCCTTAAACCTCAAATCCTTTTTTCCTCCTAAATATCTCATCTCGACACTGTTTTCCATTAAATGAAGTGCCGAGGGAATAAGTGCACTGCATCGAATTTTAGTTTCATCTCTGTTGTTTTGCCCATTATGCCTCCAGTTGTGCTGCTCGCTGCAGAGATACGAGGTGCATAGTTTTAATGAGAAGCTGCAAGTAAAAGTCAAGGAGCGCTGAAGTGACTTAAAGGTACAGTGTGTAGAATTTAGTGACATCTAGTGGCACGGCGGCCTCCGTAGAGAGCGTCCCCTCGATGTACATATAAAGTATTTAAATATGAAGTATTTAAATATTAAGGGCCTTTTCTGGGGTAAAGAAAACTACATCTCGTACAATTTAGATGAAACGAACTAGTGAAAACAACAGGATTATTTGTTCCACCTGTTTTTGAAAACAATATGTCAAGAATGCCTCGATGGAATTTCTTCAAATTCAAACATTCACTTTGACTCACAGATGAACTGATGAGATGTTGGTGGTTGAAGGTGAAAGGTCCAGGTGGCTGTGGACTCACAAATCCCTGTTGTTTGCCTTGTGAACACGTGATCTTAAGAACACCTTTTCAAATTTCTTTCAAATTTGGCACAAATATTCCAGAAGACTCGCAGATGAACTGATGAGATGTTGGTGGTGAAGGGTCATCGTGGGCTCACCGAACATGTGTTGGGCCTCTTGAACATGATACCTCAAGTTTGCCTTTTGAGAATTTGATCACGTTTTGACAGACCTCAATCTTTTCAACATTGCTGGACTTTTACAATAACGAAAAAAACCATTTGTCCCACACTAGAGGAAAGAAACGCAGTAAAAATGTCAACGTCACCTGGAAGTTTCTTAATTTTCGGAGTAGTGGTGAACCTTTAGCTGCTTCTCCAGGCACAAATACATGCGGGTGATGCTGACAACTAACCTTTGCAGTTTTGGTGACCGGAGGCAAAAAAATGCAATCCTGGTGCAACTCGAGAAAACTGAAAGAACAAGAGTCTGTAGGAGGAAAACAGCGTCAGCAGGCGGAGACGGATAAAACTGGCGAACAGTCCATAAAGTTTTTTTTTCTTTCTGCAATTACCATAAAAAATTTCCACTGAGCATCTGAAAAAACAATGAGAAGCTCGATGAAGGGGACGCTGCTCATCACATGTAAACCCACGAAACACTTTCTCATGTTTCCTCTTCCTCCTCCTCCTCCTCCTCTTCATCGCCCCCACCCCCCTCAGCTCCCCCCGGCTCTCCCTTCGGCCGAGCCAGCGTGAAAAGCGGCGGTAAGATGGACAGCTCCTCGTACTTCCGCCGCAAGGAGAAGAGGATCCGCTTCTTCATCCGACGCATGGTGAAGGCCCAGAGCTTCTACTGGATCGTTCTGTGTCTGGTGGGTCTCAACACGCTGTGTGTGGCCATCGTTCACTACGACCAACCCGACTGGCTCACGACGGCCCTGTGTAAGTCACACACACACACACACACACACACACACACAGACACACACACACACTTATTTATACCGATGGTGTGTAACACTAGTTTCTCTTTCTTTCGTTGCAGACACAGCAGAGTTTGTGTTTCTGGGTTTGTTCCTGAGTGAGATGACCTTGAAGATGTACGGCCTCGGAGTGCGGAACTATTTCCATTCCTCCTTTAACTGCTTTGATTTCGGGGTAAGACAGCGGCGGCGCTGACGCTCCACTAACAAGCAGAGTCGACTCTGTTCCGATGTAAATTAGGTCGTCCTTTGGTTTTAGGGGGAAAATCCAATGTTGTGTAAAATGTTTTTTAACGCAGCCACTTCACCCTCTGCTCTCGTCCGCAGGTGATCGTGGGAAGTATCTTTGAGGTGATCTGGGACATGATTAAACCCGGAGCGTCGTTTGGGATCAGTGTGTTAAGAGCCTTGCGACTGCTCCGGATATTCAAAGTCACCAAGTGAGTTAATTTTACATCCTACCTTGAAATGACAGGATTCAGGCAGAGAAACAACTGGATCCGATTCTAACAGGCTTTAAAGTCAGTTCCAGGTACTTCACATTTCTTTTTTAATTCTTCCCCCCCGATGATCCTGTTCGAGCTTTGATGGAAATTCTTTTGATTTTACGAGATTCCCTGTAATCGTGTGAGTCAGTGACTCTGACGCTCCGATTTGTTTCTGCGCATCGTGCGTTTCAGCTTCGTCGTTTCCGTCCGAATGTTTGTTTCATCCGTCATTTACTGTGTTTGCTGCTTTCGCTCAGATACTGGAACTCGCTGAGGAACCTGGTGGTGTCCCTCCTGAATTCCATGAAGTCCATCATCAGCTTGCTCTTCCTCCTCTTCCTCTTCATCGTGGTCTTCGCTCTGCTGGGCATGCAGCTCTTTGGAGGACAGTGAGTGATCTCTCGAACTCGTCATGCTGCCTGTCTGTCTCTCAGTCTGTGTGTTCGGTGTGTGTGTGTGTGTGTGATCCCCTGACGTGTTGGCTCAGCAGGTATCTGGCAGAGCAGCAGCTCAGTCTGAAGCTCTTTGATACGAGTCTCCGCAGGAGCTCTCTGTCGTCTAATGACAGGATCACCTCAGGATTGTGCCGATAATCAACACATCCAGTCTGACACCGCTCTGTCTCTGTCTGTCCTCTGCATGACCACGCAGGTTCAGTGACATCAGTGGTTTTTAATGTGTGTGTTGTTTGAAGCAAATATAAATATGAGCAGGGAAAGGCAACATGTCTCTTTCCCCCGTTTGACTTCATTTTACCAATTCTGTCTTTTCCCAGAATCTCAGCTTTTAACTTGAAAAGTACAGAATGTGAACGGAGCCATTTTTTAAACTTGTCTCCTCTTGTGTTTAAACAAACCAAACTAGAAGAGACTCAGAAACTCAGAGAACACAAACTTCCACCGAGCCCCAACAGTCCCTCAATGACACCACATTAAAATTAATCAAATCCAAATTTCAGACACGAGATCCAAGAAAAATTCTGCAGGAAATTGAAAAGCATTTTGAAAAACGTCCTGATCTGCACCATAATTTAATGGGTTCTCCACCCAAACCACAACAAATGAAAATATAATCTACTCGGCGAAGGTCAGAAACCACAACTACATGAGAAACTTGTTATTATACAAACTGTCGAGTGGGGATTTAAGGGAATCATTTGAAATAAACTGGAAAAACCAACACTGGCTGTGGTGGTGTGAGTTAAGATTATTTATCACAAAGAAAAAGAAATAGTTGAGCTTTGTTAAAACATATAAATCCCCAATGCCGTCTCCTTTAAAAGTCCTTGGTTTCTTTTGATCATGGCCAAGCTCAAGTTAAAGTTTAACTTTGAAGCGGCCGGCTGTTTCCATGGCAGCGAGCCCACATCAGTCTGCATCATCATTAGCGCGGTCTCCGGTGATGGACGAGTGAGAGATGAGGCTGACATCCACATGGTGCTTCCAGCCAGCCGCGCACGTCGGGCTGAGCTCTTGTCTGCGAGTAATGTCCGCTGTGATATTCAGCTCTGTCCACGCTCACATTTTCAACCTGAAGTCCGAAAATGAACTCAAGTTGTCAAATTATTTCTGGAGACAAAAAAACGTATCTTTAAAACATCAATCTGCCTTTTTAATCTTGTTT